CTATTCTAAAAAATAATTCCTCCTTGGGCCTCAGTCCCCCTCTACCACCCAATATTTCTTTTCCCCATCTATATTTATTTACTGTCACTATGTATTCACCTCCTAGTGTCTTTTAAACTCAGAGCTTTGGCCACACTACTAAAATTCCACAGGCAAAGGTCACCAGTGAATTTTCAACTGTCACATCCAAAGAATACTTAATAGGCCTTACTTTCCAAACTTTTCTGATTTATCTGAGGTTGCTGATTCCCCTCACTGTGAAACTTCATGCCTTTGACCTTTGTGACACCATATGGTCCAGGCTTTCTGTGTTCCTGCTGGCCATTCCCTCTGTCTCCTTCAGACATTTTTGTTCTCTACAATCTTCTGAGTACTTCCATGTTCTGCCCTTGGACTTCTCTCAGCTCCACTTAGGTATTCTTCATGGATGGTCCCGTGGCATCAATACTGCCCATATGCAGATGACTCTCACATATCTGTTTCCAGTGAGGGTAGGGTTATGCAGCCAACTGCCTGCTGGACAACTGAATCTGGGCATCCTCAGAGCACTTCAAGTCCAATGTGTTTAAACTCAATCCATACTTCTACCCCCAAACCTGAAATTCTTTATCTCAATTGGTTGTACATCCATCATTCACCAGATCATCCAAACTAGAAACTGATGACTAGAACATGGGTCCCATCCTTGGCACTGTTGATATTTTGGGATACGTCTTTCTCTTGGTGGGGAAACTCTCCTGTTCATTATAGGATATTTAGCAGCATCCCTGGCCTCCATCCACTGGAGTTCTGACAACCAAAAATGTCTCCAGATATTGCCAACTATTCCCTGGGAAGAGGGTGTCAACCCAGGGTTGAAAAACGCTGGGCTGAAAGCATGGGTTTAGGAGTCACATATATGTGTGTGACTTTGGACTAGTTAGCTACCTCTCTGAGCCTTGGTTTTCTCTGTAAGATGGAGACAATTCTCACCTTGAATATGGAGTTTAAATGAAATAATTAGGTGAAGTGCACGGTCTGTCCCATATTGGACACTTGTTGAGAGCAACAAAGACCCCCCCTCTTTCCTCCTCACATCCAAACTCAAGCTTCTCAGTTTTTTTTTTTTTTGAGAGGGCATCTCTCATATTTATTGATCAAA